GAGAGTCGTTTCTTCCTTAAGAAACTTCAATAGATTTTGTAGATACTCTCTTACCAGTTGTGCTGTTGTGAGTGGTTAAACTTTAATTACTTAATTTCATAATTTAGTTATATTACAAATATTAGTATTATAGTAGGAAGATACTTCTAGAACATGCAGCGTTAATAACACCTACATCGATCATAGTCTCTCATTTATATTATATTAATAACAACAATATGGATGTGGCTCATGGATGTGGAAAAAACTGCTAAAGCTTCGCCCGATAGCCGCAAAGTTCCTTAGACAAGAGGTTAGAGATGGACTGAGCACTTCCTTTTGGTATGATAATTGGTTGCCCATCGGGCCTCTAATCAAAGTACTGGGAGAGGTGGGTTCAAGAACACTAGGAGTCGCTAAAAACGCTAAAGTGGCAGAGGTGGCAGACGAGAGTGGTTGGAAGATTCGGCGTAGGCGTGGTTCACAACTCCAAGAGTTATTGAGGCAAATTAGCGCTATATCTCTGCCAAGGGCAGACCAAGGAGAAGACATCACGCTTTGGAAACAGAGTACGGACAAATATGAGCCTTTATTCTCATCTAAGAAAACTTGGGAGCAATTAAGAGTGACGGGTGCAGAGGTTCCATGGCACCGGCTGGTTTGGGTCCCAGAATCAGTCCCACGGCAAGCTTTCATAACTTGGCTTGCTTTCCGGGTCGACTTGAAACAGGTGATCGCACTAGAGTATGGGGAGACTTCCGAGCTTGTGTTCTATGTGGTGAGATAAATGAGACGCGTGACCATCTTTTCTTCGCGTGTCCCTTCTCCTTCACTGTTTGGACATCACTCATGGCAAATCTCCTTGGTAATAGGCTTAGCCCAGATTGGAGCACGACTGTAACCCGGCTAAAGAACAATAGGCTCTCAAAGATGGATTTCCAACTAGCTCGGATGGCTTTCCAGACCACGATATACTGGATATGGAGAGAAAGGAACGGAAGAAGTCATCAAAGTCCCACCAACACGGCATCGTCTATTGCTCGAACCATTCACAAGGCAATTCATGATCGATTGCTCTCTCTCAGCCATGGCTCAAGAGCAGGAAATAATGAAGCCATATTGAGATGGAATGCAGTAACCAGACGAAATATGTAGAGCCTCAAGATTATAACTATGGATGCTCAGCTCGCGTGCTCAAAAGTTACCCGATAACAGCATAGAATTGTTGCAGGTACTAATTGGATATTGTACCAAATCTTTTGATTCAAACAAACTTATGTAAGGTTTCCTTTTTGTTGATAAATAAATTTAACATTTCAACAAAAAAAAAAAAAACAATATAGTTTAGATTTTTACTTAAATTTTCAATTATAAAATAAAACAAGACTGTGGAGATTAGTTTGAATACTATGTTTCCTTTACTAAGAAGGAGATTAATGTAGCCGTTGGATGGAATCAGGAAGCAGTGTATTTAGTAAAACATCAGAACCAAGGGTCAAGGGCAGAGACATGGTTTCATCCAGAAGGTTTTATCTTGAAAGAGTAAAGTAAAGACACTGACTGAGAGGCTTTTGATGATAAGGTTAACTCTGCTTCAGGACCACTTCTCTCTCTTTGCAATATGTTGCAGAACCGTACACAGGATTGTTGGAGCTTGGAGGAGACAAAGAACTAGCAGGCCTGCTCAAGCCGTTTTTCTCCTCGTTTTCAGCGTAATCAAAAGGACATGGAACCCAAGGTAAACTCTAGTCAAGTTGAGAATTTGCCTTAGTGGCCAAGTAGATTCTACCTCTATAAATGTGGAATCT